GGGAGAGAGTGGCCTTTTCCTAGACCCTCCCGGCTTTCATGCTTTGTGGGGTTGGAGGAGGAGAAGGATGGGGCTGGCCTAGAGGCTCCTGACCAGAGAACGGTGAGAAGGTTGCATCCCTGTATTTGGCCCCAGGCAAAGCTACCACAGGCCTCACAAACTAAGATAAAGCTCCAGACCCTCTCTGGTTGGGCCCCTTCATCTGCCAGGCCTGCTCAGGACCTCTGACCGTGGACACTCAGTTTCCTCACACAGAAAGCCTCCCTCCCCTGTTGGGAAAGGGCTGTTTGGTTCTTACAAGAATCATTGCACCACGTGTGTGTGCGCTTTAACTCCCTCAGTTGTTTGTGCCACTACCCCCTGTCCCCCTCCCCCTGTCCTGAGCGGAAGCGATTTCTGAAGGCCTCGCCCACCCCACAAAATGCTCCTTGAGGGGGCCTCACCCATTCCTGCCTCCCTTATTGCCATGGCAACCAAGTTACCATTTCCTGTTCAGTTCTGGTGACTGCCTGTGGGAGGGGTGGAAGGTGGGCTCAAATGGGCTCCAGCACCCTGGAGACCCTTTCCAAGGGCACCCCACCCATGCACCTCCCCTAGGGAGCCTCCTCCTTCTGCTCCTGTGCGGAGCAATCTTGGGGTCCCCCAAACCTCCCTCTCCCCAAATAATTTAGTTTGGTCATTCCTTTCACTTTGTGCAGGGCAAAGTGATGCTTAGAGAGGGTGTTACCTTACCCTGAGCCTCAGCTCTCCTGTAGCTGGGTTGGAAACAGGCAGATGTCTCAAACCTGTGCTGGGTCCTTGGCTATCACAGCTCTGGGCTCTACTGGAGAAGTCTGGAGCGACCTGCATTTTAGAAACGGAAGCACGTGGTGCACTGGCTACGTTCCAGGCACTATCAATGGTAGAACCAGGGTTTTAACCCATATTTTTTTTATTCTTATATTTTATTATTATTATTTTATTTTAAGAGAGAGAGAGGGAGGGAAGGGGCAGAGAGAGAGGGAGAGAGAGGATCCCAAGCAGGCTCCGTGCTGTCAGCACAGAGCCCCACAAGGGGTTCGATCCCACGAACCCTGAGATCATGACCTGAGCCGAAATCTAGAGTCGGACGCTTAACCTACTGAGCCGCCCAAGCGCCCACCCATATATTTTTAGACTCTAAAATGTGTGCTCTCTACTCTGTCCTGCTGGGGAGAAACGTGTGTATGTGTGCAGAAGGCTCTGGGGGTGTGAAAGGAGTAAGTACTGAGCTTACCTTGGGCAGAGGGGTGGGGGGAGCGCACCACAGCTTTCTCTCTCTCCCTGTCCCCTGATTGCCCACCCCCACTTCTAGTTCCACTCTCTTCCTGCCAGGCTGTGGATTGTGAAATGCACGGACCACATCTTGTTTCTAGGCCGAGACTGTAACATGCTGTAGACGAACAGTGAATTCTTTGGTTTGCACCCCACTGAGAATTGAGATGCATGTTTGGGCATTTGTAATCTATGGATTTTATGCAACTAGAACGTTTTAAAATGAAATACCACGTGAAAGGAACTAAGACAACTTGCTATTTAGAAGATAACTAAAACGAACTTCTTGGTGAATCATTTTTACTCTGAATTTTTTCAAATGCAGGACTTTCTTATCTACCTGAGTTGCTTGTGTTCTGGAATTTTATAACTTAGTGACTTCTGTTTGCGTCTGTGCATCTGTCTCGCTGTGCAACTGTGTCAGTGCCTCTGTCTCAAAGACGTGGGTCTTTCCCACAAGACCCTGCAAATGCGGTTGTTACCTTCCCATTGGGCTAGAAAATACCATGAAGAAAGGGGCTGTGTCAGTTGGAGCTCCCTGAGTGTAAGGGCTGAGTTTCTTCCATTAGTCTGGGGGTCCCTGAGGGCTTTGCCTGTGTCTCCACCATCAGACTGGGACTTCCCTGAGGGCTAGTCCTATATCTTTTGCACCATTCTAGGACTCCCCAGGGGCCCACAACTATTGTCTTCCTCCCCAGTTTGGGAACTCCCAGAGGGCAGGGCTAATGTCTACTCCAACTGACTGGAAGCTTCGTGAGGGAGTGGCTTGTGTCTCCCCTCTCAGACTGGGAGCTAGCTGTTGGCTATACCCGTGCATCTCCCCTATCTGACTGGGGGAGCCCTTTCAGCGTAGGACTGTGTCTCTCCCCACAACTGTGAGTTCCAGGCAATATCCACCTCCTCTCCCTTCACCTCGACCTTCAAGAGGCCTCCTTCCCCGCCTCTGGCCAGACCTTGCTCACCAGTAGTGTCTCCCCAGGTGTCCCTGCCGAGAACGTGTACACTAAAGTGCAGCACCTTGAAGGGGAGACTCTGTCTGTGCAGTGCTCCTACAAGAGCCGCAAAAACCACGTGGAGGGCAAGGTATGGTGCAAAATCAGGAGGAAGAAGTGCGAGCCTGGATTCACCAGGGTCTGGACGCAGGGGCCACGCTACCTGCTGCAGGATGACGCCAAGGCCAAGGTAGTCAAGATCACCATGGCGGCCCTCAGGCGCCAGGACTCGGGCCGGTACTGGTGCATGCGCAACAGCTCGGGGACCCTGTACCCTCTGACGGGCTTCCTTCTGGAGGTGTCTCCAGGTGAGCCGGCCCGCCAGGGCACGGGAGGGTTGAGGGTGTCCTCCCTGCCCCAGTCTCCATTCGCAGCAGATATAGTAAGAATAATAATCCATCCGTGGGCCTGGGGTGCCGCAGGGTTTTCGCAATTTTTACTGACATCTTCATGGGCGTTATTGTCCCCATTTTACCGATGAAGAAAATGAGACCTAAAAAGCCCTCTGTGGATCTCACCTTGTCCAGGGTCACAGAGCTAGCAGGTGGCAGAGACAGGATTCATACTTAGGGTGCTGTGTGCTTTGTTTTTATTCCATCTTCTGTTAAATATATATTCACTGCGTCCCTAGCTATGTGCCAGGGACTGTTCTAGGCTCTGAGGATAGAGGGGTGAGCAAAAGCAGACACAGCCCTGCCCTAGGAGAGACGACAGGCAGTCGCACATCATCAGACAAATAATTGTAGGTAACCATAAACGTTCTTAAGAAAATAAAGCAGGTCAGTGTTTTATTCAGTAATTCAGTGGCGGAGGGAGCCACTGAGGTGCTGGAGACCAGAGAGGACTCTCCTGAGCAGATGACATCAAGCAGAGCCCAGCGTGATGAGAGCTTTTTAGCCCTGTTGAAATATGGGTCCTTCAGAGGGTATTCTAGGTGCATGTGCAAAGGCCCTGAGGTGACAAGGAGCTGGGCCTGTATAAGGCAGGCCTGTGTGGCTGGTCCATATTGAGTGTGGGGCAGAGTGGCAGGAGATGAGGCTGGAGAGTCAAACAGCAGCTCTAAAGTCTCTGATGTGGAGTTTGAGTTTTATTCCAAGTAGAATAGGAAGCTATTGGAGAATTTAGAGGGGTGTGTTGTGGCTTGTCTTTAAGAGCCTAATGGCTGTTTTGTGGAGGATGGATTGTGGAAGAGGGTAAGAGATGGGCACAGAGACCCCTGTTGGGTGTTCTGGCTGAGAATGACAGTGTCTTAGAGTAGGATGTGGGCCCTGGAGGCGGGGAGAAGTGGAGGGGCTCAAATCTATGATGTTCAGACCTCCTGCCCCCCACCCTGTACACTCTGGAGGCAAGACAGGATCTGCTCGTGTGGGAGTTGAGCGAAAGGGACGAATCAGGAGTGACCCTAAGGCTTTCTGTTCCATCAGCGAGGTGCATGACGGTACCATTTATTGAGTAGGGCGAATCTGGAGAGGAGCTGGTTTGGAGGAGAAATACCAAGAGCTGTATTTTGTCCTGTTAAGTTTGAGATGCCTCCTGGAGCCCCAAGTGGGCAGCAGATGTGCAGCCTGGAGCTCAGGTGAGAGGTCAGAGCTGGGGATATACTTGGAAGTATCTCCATGAAGATAGTTTAAAGTCTAGGGGATTCGAGAAATCTATACAGACAGAAAGCAGATTGGTGGTTGTTTAGGGCGGGGGGGGGGACAAAATGAGGAGGTAGAGGAGTCACAGCTAAAAGGTGAGGAGATGATGCAAATATTCTAACACTGGCTGTGGTGATGGTTGCGGGACTCTGAATATACTAAAGACCATTGAATTTGGTGCTGTAAATGGGCGCAGTATGTGGGATGTGACTGGTGTCACAATGAAGCTGTAAAAAAAATCAAGGGAATGTAGGGGCGCCCGGGTGGCTCAGTCGGTTGAGCGTCCAACTTCGGCTCAGGTCATGATTTTGCAGTTCGTGAGTTTGAGCCCCACGTCGGGCTCTGTGCTGACAGCTCGGAGCCTGGAGGCTGCTTCGGATTCTGTGTCTCCCTCTCTCTCTGCCCCTTCCCCACTCATGCCCTGTCTCTCTCTGTCTCTCAAAAATGAATAAACGTTAAAAAAATTTAAAAAAAAATCAAGGGAATGTAAAAGCTCTCCCTTGAGTGTCGAAAAGGAGAGTTAGGGCCAAGCCCCGAGGTCCCCCCCTAAATTTATACGATAGGAAACGGCGAGGAACCAGCAAGAAAATCTGAAAAAAAAGCAGCCAGTGATGATGAAATTTGTTATCCGCCCTTCCGCATTCTCCTGATCCCTCTGTATCTCCCTTTTCTGTGGGACTGAGCCGGGGCAACTACTGTCTCTGAGATGTGGAGCCAAATCTCGATCCCCCCTCTCCAGTTCTGCCTTTGCAGGGATACAAACACGGAATGGTTTCGCTTTTCTCTGTGCGCACCCCCTCCCCTTGTCAGATCTCGCGTTCCACCTCTTAAAGGCCGTTTGGGGAGATTCCGACTTTGCAGACCTTTTCGGTTATCAGGAAAACAGAAAAATCCACAGCCCGTTTAAAAACTCTAATCTTCTAGCAATATATGCCCCTCCACTCCTTCCTGAAGACCAAGCCACCTGGAGTGGGGAAGGGGGTAGCCTGCTGCCTAACTCCCTCTCCTTCGTCTCGGCAGGTAGGGAAGGTGGGGTTCTTGGCAGTCCGCTCTCCCTGCCATCCCCTGCCAACCCCCTGGTGCACCGAGGCAGGGGCAGAGGCAGAGGCAGGGGAGTGGTAGTGTGTCTTCACTGCCCGCTGTAGGAGTTCTCTCTCCGTGTCGGATGTCACTCTTTTGTACCCAGCCCTTTGTGGGATCCTCTGTGAGGTGGGTGTCCAGATGCTGGCCCTCCCAAGGCACCTACGCGTGAGTTCTCTGGAGGGTCTTTGGGGGTGTCCCCACTGCTGTGTAGGGTGATGGTGGAGATCTGGCTCCAGGTCAGCCTCTTCCCCTATCCCCACTCTCACCAATGTTGCTTGTTCGGGGGTCCCTTGCCCAGAAAGATGGGCACCTTCCATGGTGGCCATTTGGCCCTTTGAAATGTGTCCGTGTGATGCACAGTCATGTCATGTGGCAGCCCATGGCAGCCCTCTCTCTCCCCAATGTTTCTCTCCAGTTCCCTTGTTCTCTGCGGATATAGTTTCCACATTGCCCCAGATGGGACCTGGAGCCTCCTGCAACCCCCTCCTCTTCCACCACCCAAACGCCAACCTTCTCGAAAATGGGATGTAAAAGGCTGAGGTGATGGGTGAGGGTAGCAGGTGTCTCTTCGTAAGCCCCTGAGAAGGGCATTTGACTCTGCTGCTTGAGGTGTTCTGTGGAATTTGGGCCTTTAGTGCTTCCCTGTGTTTTGTTTTTTAAGTTTGTTTGCTTATTTTGAGAGAGACAGAGACTGTGCCAGTGGGGGAGGGGCAGAGAGAGAGAGAGAGGGAGAGAGAATTCCAAGTAGGTTCCACTTTGCCAGCGCAGAGCCCAACACGGGGCTTGAACTCACGAATCTTTGAGATCGTGACCTGAGCTGAAATCAAGAATCTGACGCCCAACTGATGCCCAGTTGCTTCCCTGACTTCAGTCCCTGGGCCCTACTTGCCAACTATGGAGCACCTGGAAAAGTCCCTGTTCAACATCATAGTGAAGAAGTCTCTTTGGCCCACAGGAATGAGGAGGGTTGGAAGTGACTGGAGAGATGGGGGCGGGGAGGAGAGTGTCCTCTGGGCCCAGGTGGCCCGACAGGGCAGGCTAAAGAAACAGAAAGTCTCTTCCTTCTCCCTGACCAACAGCTGGTCACTCAGCAGAGCAGAGCCCTGGGTACAAGACCCAGGAGGGGAGACGGGGATCCGCTCCCGTCAGCGAGACCCCCTCCTGATCTAACGTTCCTCCCTCTCTGGCCCCTTAGCCTCCGCCATCAAGAGAAGCACTCCTCTTCCACAGCTGGCCAGTATCCTCCAGAGTGGAACTGTCGTCACCGAGGGCCCAGCCCCCACCTCAGGCCCCGATGCCCCTTTCACCACCAGTGTGACAGTGCTCACACCTGGTCTCTTCACCATGACCAGACTCGTGCCCTCCGCTGCCTCAGGGTCCATCAGACTGACCTCCATGACAGGCTACAGCTTCACCAGCGCTGGCTCCTCTACCATGGGGCCCGGGAGGACCATGGGGTCCCAGACCGTGACTGTGCCCCCCAGCGATGCCGGAGCCTCCTCTGCCGGCCCAGTGTCTGTGTCTACCGGGGCTGGGCCCCCGCGTGCCAGATCACCCACCACGGGAACGTGCCATACCAGTGGGTCTCTCATCAACAAATTATCCCCTGACAGGTACCCGGGGGTCGTGGGGCTGAATGACGTTTGACCGGATATGGCGGCCGTTCTTGGGGCCTCCACTTAGAGCCGACCTTCCCTTTCAGGAGGCCCGTCTGGCCTGCTGCTGAATGGCGGGTGGGTAGGACGCCAGAAGCTGGGAAGGAGTGGTGCCATCCATACGGGCTGGCAGTGGGAAGTGAGGGCTGAGGAGGGGTCAGCTTAAGAGCCTGTGGATGAAGAGGAGAAGGTAGGGGCAGGACAAGGATGGGCCTCGGGAGTAGGAAGTGGGAAATGGGGGATGCTTTAAATTGGGTTCCCCCGGAAGCCACCTCTGGGACCAGGAATGCTGGAAAGAGCGCGGGGAAATGAGACAGGGAGCCCGTAGAGAACCTAATCAAGCCACCACCACTGTGGGCAGCGGAGCTCAGCCCATGGGGTGGGCTCTGGGGCCCTGCGTCAGACGCCCACCTGAAGGGCAAGAGAGCTGTGGTATTAATACACCTACTCCCACTGGGCATTGATAGAGGGCTGCCTGTCCTGGGTGGGAGAGAGGGCTCCAGTAACAAGAGAAAGTCCTCAGGCCAAAAAATATTTGAATGGAGGTGCCGAGGGCTGGTGCACACGGAGTGCTACAGGCAAGGGGTTACAGGCTGTGCGCCTCCCGCATCAGCTGCAGAGGACAGCAGAAGGAAGGGCCACCACGAGAGGCTCCCACTGTGAGGACAGCAAGACTCTCAGTCTCCTCTGTCACAAATGGGGGTCCCTTAAGAGTCCTTGTCCTCAGCAGTGAGCGGATTTGGGGAAACAGTGGAGGAGATACTCCCCTCCACCTGGGACTCTTCCCCTGACCCCCAAGCTCCTCACTTCCTCCTGCCACAGCTGGGTTCCCAAGGAAGGGAGCCCATCACCCCAGCCAAGGCCTGTGAGGATTTCTCCAGGTCTGGCTCCTCTCCTGCGGCACGCAGGAAGACATGGGTCTGGGAGGAGGGAGCCGGGTGCTCACCTCCTCCCCGCTCTGTCCTGTCCCCTCAGGCACCAGGATTCATATCCCATTGTGCTCCTGGGGGTGCTGACCTTCCTCCCAGTGCCTGTGATGTTGATCGTGGTCTATGGGTTCTGGAAGAAGAGACACATGGGGAGTGAGTACAGCCCACCCTCCCAGCCTCCTGAGGGCAGAGCAATGGGGCTTGACATGCTTTCCAAAGCGCCCGCCTGCACTCCATTCCCAGGCGGTGTGTCCTCACCTTTGTTGGCCAGAAGGACTGCTTGGCACCCAGGGGAGGGAGGAGGGTGGGTGAACAGGAAAGGTGCCGCATGACCCTCCCGGGGCCGACCCAGCAGAAAGTGGAGGGCAGAGCCAGAAGGAGGGATGGACTGGCCCAGGAGGGTGGGGGGAGGGGAGCACCGGAGCCCTGCCCTTCATCTCTGTCCTTGTCCTCCCAGGCTACAGGGTGTGCGACAATCCTGCTAGAGCCTGGAGGGACCCACTTGGAAGCCCGGAGCCTCCGTGGAAGCCTGCTTGGTCCGAGGCCACTTAACTATGGAGTAGGAAAGCTGTTCCTGGAGGGGCCCTAGGAGGCCAGGGGAGGATTAAGATGGGGACCTGTGTGAACTGGAGCCAGACCGATGCTGGACTCAGGCCCCCCCCTCCCCCCCTGCAGAACCAGAGGCTGCTCTTGGCCCGCTCAGACCCCTTGGGCTGCCAAGAACCTGAGAACGCTCAGAATGGAGGGCACCAGGCCGAAAACCGCAGGGCAAGCCACCGAGGGGATCCTGAGTCCCAGGCCCCCACTGGGTGGCAGAGAAGCCTTGTAGAGAGCTCAGGAGCCCCTTGTATGCAGCAGAGGGGAGCAGACGGGTGGGCCGCTGCTCTCTCCCCATCCCGAACCCTGTGCCCTCAGCCACCTTCTGCTCCCCTCAAGCTTCCCCACGTGCTTGGGGAGGAGAGAGTCTCAGAGGCAGCTGGTGTCTTAGGGGCCCCGCCCTAGAGGAGAAGAAGGAACAGTGACCAAGAGTTGGAGATCCACAGGGGTTTGGCAGCAGGGGACCCCAGAGCGGCCTAAGCCCCCCACCCTTGGGGCCCCGCGCCCTCTGATGGGCCTCTGGATATGCCCTGCCTTGATTGCAGTGCCTGTCCCTGAAGTCCTGGGAGCCAGCCAGCAGAGGCCACCAACCCACTGTGGCCTGTCACCCATTGGCAGGCCCTCTAGGGACAGTTGTGACCAGGCCGCCCAGAGCCCCTTGGCTGCAGGACCAGCCTGTCCCCGGACGGGGGCTGTACTCAGGGCTCTTCCCCTCGGTTCCCAGCTGCAGGCCTGAGCTCTCACAGAAGGCGGAGGGCCCTCCAAAGTCCACCGCAGGGGAGGCCATGGCTCAGAAAAGGGTGGATCGCCCACCCGCCCCCAAGGACTCATTGTCCCCTGGGAAGAGAGGAGCCACGTGGGACCCAGCAAGGACAGCCTGGAGCTGAGCACAGCCTGGAGGAATGCCTGGGGCTGGAGGAGGGCAGGGAGTCTGGCCTCTGCTTCACTGGCCTCTGCTCAGACTTGGCCTCGCCTGCCGTGAAGGCTGGAGAGTATGGGCTGGATTCCTCCCCTGGAGCAGGGGCCCTACTAGTCTGGAGCAACTGGAATAAGCACCTAGGGATCAATGTGGCATTTCCACTCTCCCCCTGGAGCAGGGCCCTCCCAGGAGGGACAGCAGATGTCATTGTCAGGAGAGTGACACGGCCAGGGTCTTGATGGGTGGCTGGGGGGCCACCCAGAATGGGGGTGGGGAGACAGGAAGGGACAGAAGGTAATCCTGGAGGACCGCAGGGAAGAGGCATCTCTTTCCTGCATCCAGAAGGGGGCACTAGAGGAGGGACTCAGATTGAGGAACCCACAAGCCCGGTGTCAGGTCATACACACACGCGCGCACCCAGAGTGATCTCGGTCCTCTCTATCAGGAGGGCGTGCCCACGACCTTGGTGTGCAACTAGGAGGGGGTTCATTTCTCTGGGGAACACAGCTCCCCCAGAGCCCCACTCCATTCAAGATCCTGCAACAGCACACTTACAGCCCCGCCTGTGGGAGAGCCACAGAGGGCTCAGGACAGGGACTGGGGGATGCCCCCTGTCACTGTGTGACCCTGTGCAAGTAACTAACCCTATCAGACCTCATTGTCCTCTGTTGTGAAAGAGGACACTAACTCTACCTCCCAAGACTGCTTTCAAGGATCAAGTAGAGTGACAGGAACCTCTTACCACCGAGTAAATGCCTCCTGATTGCTCGTCCCCAAGCTCTTCTCCAGCTCTAGCGTATGCTTTGTCCACACTAAAGCCCTCTGGGCCCTATTTCTCTGTTGTGCCCTAAATTGAAAGGGGCTAGGAAGGGCAGAGGGACACACGGGCAGGCCTCAGGCGGTGGGTGCTGGACCTAGGCAGAGGCCTTTGGCTGTGCCCTGATGTCAGGGTAGCTGTTAGGGGACCCCCCCCATCCCTGTTTGCTGAGGATGAGGGGCTCCCGGAATTGGGTGAGCCTGTACCAGGTGCCCACCCTTGGAGCCTGCTCCCACGTGAACTCCCCAGGAAGGATACAGGATACTGGGAAAGGAATACAGAGCCCCCGCCCCGGGTCTCCAGCCCCGCTGGGGCCTGGGTGGCCTCTTTGGACCTCCAGTGCTCTGGGACATTTTCCTGAAAGCCCCAGCCTTTCATTTTTCTCCTTGTCCTTACCCTTTTTCCCCTGGAGCTGCAGGAGGATCCAGATCCTCAGGAGATCCTGGGCAGGGGGTGCATGGGGGTGGGGGTGGGTATCACACAGGCTGCTGCTGCTGCTGTTAGTGGCTAAGGCAACAAAGCTTCCTGAGCAATTGACTGTGATGACAGGACACGCTGTGGAGGGCTTCCTGTCGTGACCAAGGGCTGGGACACGTAAAGAAAACCCAGCTCGGGGGGATGTCTGCTCTGCGGAACATAGAAGACACATCTGTCACCGTGGGACACACGCGCTCCCACTGGAAGTCCAGCAAGCAAGCCTCAAGTTCACGGTCCTCCCAGGTGGCTGCAAAAGGTTTCTCAGTCTGCATGAAACTGAGTCGGTGTATCGTCCTCCTTCAGGCTGATGGACTTGTTACCCCAGGGCTGGGAATAGGGAGAGTGGAAGGCCTCCTCTGCCCGCCCCTCCCCCCAGGGGGCTGCCTCAGCTGCAGAGAGAGGCCTCACCAAGGGCAGTCCCCCTCCCAGGGTGGCCCGTCACCCCTGACCGGCTGTCACAGGCTCCAAAGCCCCGGCATCTCCTTGCCACCCTGGAGAGCATCCTGTCTTCAGATCTCTGCAGGCCTGAGCTTCCTGTTGACCTGTCCTTCTCTTCCCGGCTTGGTCCCCGGGCATGTTAGGCCTCCCGTGCTAACCTCCACCTCAGAATCTGTGCCCCCACAAACCCGACCTGCCACACTGCATTTTTACAAGGTGTCCTCCTTTCTTCGTTGTTTATTAACTATACACAGCCTGTGGTGATTGTTTTTCCGTGGCTCTTCTAATGACAATTATTCTTAAAAACGTGCTTGATTACTGTGGTCTTTGGACAAATGCTTGGGGAGTGATTATGGCAGGCTGGGAGCTGGGGACATGGGGTGACTGGGGTGGGGAAACTCCCCTCCAGCCTCCCCGATCCTCTTCCCCCCCCTGCCAGTTATGCTCCCCCGCTTCATTCTTTCCCACCCTTGCCAGAATATTCCCTGATTCCCTGCACCTCTTCCTGGAAATGACTCTCCCTCTCTCTTCTCCTCTGCCCCTCCAGTCCCCACACAACCCCCCCGGCTCCCAGGCAGGCCTGGACAAGAAGGCTCAGACCACTGGGCACCTCCAAAGGTCCCCTAACTGGGTCACTCCCCGTCAGCCACTGCTTTACCGGGTGGGGAGGAGGTAGCTGAGGGCTGGGAGGAAGTGGTCAGCTAGAGGGGAGAAAGAAAGGAGAAATAGGTTCTGCTTTCACCAGAGTTTCTTCCTGGGCTTCCACAGCTTTCTACATCCCAACCCCAGTGTGACAAGGAGGAAGAGGCTGAGCACAAGAGAGCCACAGCAGTAGCCGCAGAGTCTCCTGGAGCCTCAGTCCAGTCTCGGGGTTGTCGCCTTTCGGGGCTCACGTGTAGCACCTGCAGCGGGAAGGTCCCCTCCTCCCAGGCCTCCTACTGCCCCGTTGGAGCACGCTTCTTCCCCCGGACCAGCGAGGGTGGCTGTGCTGAATCCCCACCCCTGTCCCCCAGCCAGAAGCTCCCTGTCCTCGGGACTTCCCTCTCCCACCCCGGCTCAAGAAGAGGGCCCATGGCCGGGGGGGGCACACACCTGCTGCTATCTGTCCTTCTGATGCTCCTGGCATCATCAGGTGATGAGGACCAAGGGAGGGAACAGGGCAAGAGGAGGGGGAGGTGGCCGGGTGAGGCAGGCCAGAAGGGGACAGGGGCGGGGTGGGGCTGTGGCCTGAGGCTGCCTCTGGGGCCCTTTCTGCAGAGGAAGGCACCTATCTCCTGGCCCCGCAGTGGCAGATGAACTGCTCCCCGACCTGAGTTTCTTTTCAGGCTCCTGGGAACAGAAGTCACCGTTGCTGCACAAACGGGAAGGGGAGACGGTCTCCGTGAAGTGCATGTACCCGCCCCGGACAGGTTCAAACATGATGAGAGTCTGGTGCAGGGACATTTCAGCAGATACTTGTATCGTGTTAGCCTCCAACACCAGGCTCCCGAGAGTGTCCGGGGATCCTCGAAACTCTATTCAGGATTATTCCAGTTTAGGCTACTTCATCGTCACCATGACTGAGCTCAGGGTGAAAGACTCTGGATTTTATTCATGTGGATTCTACAAATCCTCAGAGATCTCTCTTCTCAGAAAATTCCGTCTGGTGGTATCTCGGGGTGAGTTCTTGCCCTTCTTCGTGTGGTCCTCAGCCTTCCTAAACCACAGGTGTTAGAGCTAGAGAAGACTCTAAAAGCATTTTCTTCTTGGCTCTCACAGCCGAAAACCAGTGCCCTTTGCCCAAGGTCACCGTGAATTAAAGGCAGAACCAGCAGAACTCAGACCTGCTGGCTCACTTGGTTCTTCCTTTCCCATCACATGTGTCTCTGAACAGTTTTGTTGCTACTAACAAGACTCGTCCGTTGATTTCTAATGACTGTAAGGCTCCCTCAAGTTTGACGAGACTGGCTGCTGACTGGGCCACTCCTGGGCATCCCCACCCCTGACCCTAACCCCTAACCTTCTCTCAAAGGGTTGTGCTTGAGTCCCAGGAAGCCAGTGGGGTTAACAAATGGTGGACAGGCAGGAGGCAGCCAGTCAATGAAACAGGCGATGAGGCCGAGGTGAGGTTGGAGAGTGCAGCGGCGAGGCTCAAGCTGGAGTGGGTCCTCCCACCACAGCCCTGCCCCACTTGCAAAAGTGGACACATAAGCTCAGGTGAGGGGGGAGCTTGGCGGTGCTCCCCATCTGAGGCCCAAGTGTGCCGAAAAACCTCCGAGTGGTTGGGGCAACTGGGTGGCTCAGTCGGTTGAGTGTCCGACTTCAGCTCAGGTCATGATCTCATGGTTTTGTGGTCAGAGCCCCCGCGTGGGGCTCTGTGCTGTGGGAGCCTGGAGCCTGCCCCTAGATTCTGTCTCTGCTTTCTGCCCCTTCCCACATCTCACGACAGTCTGTCTCTCTCTCTGTCTCTCCAAAAAAAATGAATAAACGTTAAAAAAAATTAAAAAAAAAAGCCAACCTCTGAGTGGCAAAGCCTGCCCGCCCTCCCCCCCCACCCCCACTGAGTTTCTCTGTGATGGCCGGAGCCTGAATGGCATCTTCCCAGAACCCTGCCCTCCTTCCAAGCCTGCTCCAGCCATTTCATTGAGCTGAGCTTGCACCCAGAGGGGCATGGAGTCAGCTGGCAGCCGGTACTGCCTAAGCATGTCACACGCCCACTCCCATGTAGGGCAGGGCTGCAGCCTTCTAGAAGAGGAATACAGAAACCTTGAGACCCACTCCTGTGCTGGAGGAGCCTGGCCAGCCCTCCCACTGGGAAGGCAGATACATAGGTAAAGGGTTAGGAGGGTGGGTGGTGGGCGGCATAATGGAAGCATGTTGGGTGGCGGCCCAGTGGAAGGGAGAGACCAGGTTGGTGGAGAAAGCAGTGGTATGGATTCTCCTGGAGGACTCCCCAGAGGAGGTGATACCGCCTGGGCCTTACTGAAGGAGCAGGACCCCCAGACAAAAGTGGGGGCAGGTGGGAGGGAAGCATTATGGGTGGAGAGTACATGATATGTTCAAAGAACACAAAAAAGACTGTGGAATATAGCCAAGTGATAGTGTGGTCCTAATCTAAAGCCACTTGCACGGTGGCACTTCACTGTGAGGAAAACCCAAGAGAAATGGGTTCTGCTTTCACCAGAGTTTCTTCCTGGGCTTCCACAGCTTTCTACATCCACATCACTCAGAGTAACACCCCCACTTGGCCCAGAGCCCTGTGTGGGCCCATCCTCCCCAGGGCCACGGGCTAGAAGTGGGGAGACCGCAATGCGGAGCAAACACATGGGAGTGCTCCTCTCGTGGTCGTGTCTTTCAGCTACAACCACGCCCACCACCACGAGCACCAGGAGCACCACAGCCTGGACCTCCGCCACCAGCCCTGTCACCGACAGGTACTGTCACCTGCCTCCCGGTCCTCTCTGTCCTCCACTTCCTCCCCCCCCCCATGGCCGACTGTGTGAAATGCCTCCAGCTACCGCATGCCCGTAGACGCCTGGCTCTCAGGGGGGCAGAATGCTTCAGGTCACTTGCTTCAGGCCTCTTGGAGCCTCAGTTTTGTCATCTGCAAAATGGGGCCAGTGGACATTCTCACCTTACAGCAGGGTTGCTTACCTCGGGCAAGGCTGACATTTGTTGCGAGGGGTGTCCCGGGCGGCAGCGTCCCTGGCCTCTGCCCATGGGACAGCAACAGCACAAACCTCCCTGAGACCACCCAGGTGTGGCAACCAAACCAAAATGTCTCCGGACACTGCCAAGTTTGCCTCGGGGCAGAACCACCGTCTTACGGAGTTGCCGTGAGGATTAAGTGGGATTGTGTCTGGCCCAGCGCCAGGCATGTGCCCAGAGCTTCTTCCTTGGCCTCTCCCCTCTTCCAGCCACAGGCGTCTGGGGGAAGGGGGCACTCTGTCGTTACTACAACCCCCGGCCTGATTTCTTCTCTACCCCTGCCTGACGGGCTCTAGGCCCCGACCCCTCGGGACTGACCTGATAGCCGCTCTTATTCCAGACTCCATCCTTCCTGCCGTCTCTCCACCCACCATCACTGCGATGGGAACCCGGGGCTCTCACAAACCATGGTTCCTTGCTTCAAGGCAGTATGTCCAGAAACCAGGTGGAGCTGGTCATGGAGCTGAGAGGTGTCCCTAAAGTGGCTGCCTCCGGGGCTTAGGGCTTCGACACTTGCCACCCTGGGGAGCCTGTTGTGGTGTAAGAAAGCCTGTCTTTGTGTTCTGCCTTCGACTTAAGACAAGCCCTATCCAGATGTGTTTATCATGTGGCAGAACTGTGGGTCACAGGAAACCAGTGTTCTCTGAGAGCTGAGTGCCTCTCACAGGCAGGCTGAGGTGACAGAGCCGGGACCAAGAATAGTTTAGGGGAGCAGGTTGGAGGGGTGAGTGCAGACCCTGCAACAGGGGCCCGGGGGCAAGTCAGGGGATAGCAGCCAGAAAAGGGAAAAGGAGCAAAGACAGCAGGCATTGGTACCATTCCCCTTTCACAGAGGAGGAAACGTAGCCCAGACGTGGCTAGATGTGCATGGCTTACGGGGCAGAGTCCTTGACCATGGGGCTGCCTCCTGGCCAGCTCAGCGGGAGGGGCTGTCACGACCACCACACGCGTGGGGAGAGGGATGGCTTCCCCGCAGAAGGTTGGCTCCCACTTTCCTCACCCTGCTGGCTGTTCCTTATTCCCAAGCTCCGAAAGCAATTGGCGTCTCATCATTCCCACCTCGACGGTGGCCGTCCTGCTGCTGCTGGTGCTCATGGTCCTCATGATCCTGTACTTCAAGAAAGCCCGAGGAAGTGCCGGGAAAGGTAAAGCCCAGAGCTGGCTCAGAGCAGACCACTGAGGGCGTGGCCATGATGTCCTCGTGCCCGCGAGCCGTGAGGACCAGGCTTATTGTGCCCATTCTACCACCAAGGAAATTGAGGCCCGCAAGACAAGGTGGCCAGGATCCCCTGGGTGCTCTTGCTTTGCAGAACAGCAGGCAGGATCATTCTCTTCAGAGGCTCAAGGTCAGCTTCCTCTAAGCCTAATTTGCCTAAAATTGGGCATTCTGCTATCATTTTGGGATCGTATAATTTGCCATCTTTTTATAGGTAAGGATTTACTTTTTTTTATTTTTTAAAAAAGCTTTATTTCTGTTGAGAGAGGGAAAGTGCAAGCAGGGGAAGGGGCAGAGAGAGAGAGGGAGACAGAGAGACTCTGCACTGACAGTGTGCAGCCTGACACAGGGCTCTGTCCCACAAACTGTGAGATTAAGACTTGAGCCAAAGTCAAGGGTTGAATGTTTAACTGACTGAGCCACCTATCGTTAAAGATTTTTAAGCAAATTTATCTAAAAACCTTTCTGGTCAACGGTATTGGTTTTTAATTGTCACTATTGTTTTTATTTATGTTTTCTTAATTTTCTTAATGTTTTATTTATTTTTGAGAGACAGAGAAGGGGGAGGGGCAGAGAGAGAGGGAGACACAGAATCCGAAGCAGGATCCAGGCTCTGAGCTGCCAGCACAGAGCCCGATTCAGGGCTCGAATCTGCGAGCCGGGAGATATGACCTGAGCCGAAGTCGGATGCTTAACCGACTGAGACACCCAGGCGCCCCTGGTTGCCACAGTTGTTTTTAAATTTTGTCTTCCTAAAAGCACAAGAAGGACTTTTTAATCTTCTGAGTTGTAAGTTTTTAGCATTAACCTTTGTGCAAGGCTTATCAGATTAGTGCCTTTCAATGATTCCTGCCTTAGTTTTTGTTGTTTGGTTTGTTTAGCATGTATGTGCTGTGTATTTATTAACCATATAATCCAGTGTTGTGTCTGTTGACAAAATTGAAATGTGGAAGCAAGTCAGGGTTATGCTGGGCCGTATTGATTTTAATTTTTCAAGCTATCAAAATCCTAACGTAGTAATGGATTGTAAAATTAAAAAAAAGTTTTCTTATGTTTGTTTTATTTTTGACAGAGAGAGAGACAGAGGGGGGCAGGGGCAGAGAGAGAGGGAAACACAGAATCTGAAGCAGGTTCCAGGTTCCAAGCTGTCAGCGCAGAGCCCGACGTGGGGCTCGAACTCACAGACTGTGAGATCATGACCTGAGCTGAAGTCGGACGCTTAACCGACTGAGCCACCCAGGTGCCCCGGATTGTAAAATTTTCTATCCGTACTTTTCAAACTGTGCAAAGCCAATTTAGTGGGTCACAATACTATTTCCATAAAACAAAATAAAAAGGTAAAATGTCACAGTGGTTTGTACACTCTGGAAGGACAATGTTTTTTCATTGGACTTTTAGGGGTGGGGGGGGCGCATGTATGCGTAGGAGTGTGAGTGTGTGTATTCGTATGTGCCGGAATAAGAGAAAATATTTCTCATTGTGGCTCCTGGCCCAAAAATTTGAAAGACGTTATAGATAACTTCCCCAGCAAATAGATTATACTTAAATTGATGTTTCAGTTTGGAACTTTCAGTGACTTGAGTTGATTAAGCTTACCAGTTTTATGCAAATGAGCCACAGGCCGCCAGCTTGATTTGCTCCTTATCACTAATCTCTGCTCCCTGGACACTCCTCTGCACTGGCCAGGGCCTGCGACCCTACTGTGACCTCCCTGCAACGTCCTGGGCAGGGTGGGATTTCCGGGCCGGGGCCCCAGCCCCTCCCCTGCCAGGGTCCCCTCTGCCCAGAGGGGGCCTCCATCACCTCTGCCTTCGCAGGAGACTGGAGCCTAGGGAGCGGTCCCTGCCCCAAACTGGACTCTTTTCTTCACAGGTGAGGACAAACTCCACGTCTATGACAACATTTCAGTCCAGAGGGAAAAGACCACTGAACACCGGGAAGACTCCTCGTCAGGGCAGAGGCGATCTCAGGTTTCCCGGGTATCTTTGTTGTCAGTGTTACTGTCTTTTTTAGCTCCCCAGCTTGTGTTTACTTGTAGTTTCTGTTCAGTCTGGGCCTGGAATCACGTGTGACTCCTCATGTTGCCTCATCTGCACGTACCCATTGCCCCATATTTCCCAATTCAAACCTCTTCAAGAGAGAGAAGTTGACTGCTTCAGCTTTTGACCTTCACCCCCACAGGAGACAGCTATTAATGGGGGTCCATCCCATGGGTCCAGAGCCAGCCTATGGCGTGGCTTCCATCAGTCCAGTCGGCTAGGGGGAAGAGGGCCTCACGGCACAAGCATGGCTCCCTAAGTGCTCTCTCTTCGGGAGCTGAGGGCCGAGCTGTTGCCCTTGGGTAGGCGTGTCTTGTCTAAAGATCTGAGACTCTTAAAACCACAGAATCGCAGGATTGGGAGGATCTAAAGCCATCTGGTTCAACCCTCTGTAATGCTGGAATCAACTCTACAAATGGCACCCCTACCAAGTGCTGTTCTAGCTCAGCACTACTCAAACTTGAGTGTGCATAAAAGTCACCTGGAAAACGTGTTCAAACAGAACTTCTTGGGCCCCTCCCCCAGAGACCGATTTAATAGATCTTGGGTGGAACCTGAGATTTTAACAAGCTGCCAGGCAATGCCGGTCCATGGATCATACCCAACGTAGCCTTCCTTAGCCTATTCTTAAACATCGTCAGTGATGGCAACTCTGCTGGCTTCAGCTATTCCCAGAGGCTCTGCAAGGTCCATACTCTGTCCCACACCTTATCCCTGTCTCTGTTCTCCACCCAGCTCTGGGCAGCCTGGGGGCCACTGACCATTCCCAGCTATGATCTGTACAATGAACATCTATCTTCTTTGATTCCCAGGGCTCCAATCAACAGATGGGCTCTGACGAGGACTCTGGGGCCATTTGCTATGCTTCACTTACCCACCTGAACAACTTTGACCTTGACGACTCCATCTATGTCAACACCCACCCCAACCTGAGGCCCACGCCTGACCCCCTTCTGACTGTGGAATATGCCAGCATCTCTGGAAGCAGACCCCAGCCCTCCAACTTGACTGCCCTGGAGGGGGAAACTCAGGAGCTGAAGGCAGACTTCACTGGGCAGTGACCACTTAACAAGTACCTGTGAGGCGTGGGGTTGCCCTACCAGTGATATGGGGACTTTGGTGGGACAAAGATGGTCCCAAACCAGCAAAAGGTCATCCCTTCCTCCAAAGGAGGTGAGGAAGGGGGAGGAGAAGAAAGTCCTTGTCACTCCAGAGGAGAGAAGCTTTGAGTCTAAAGGCTGTGCTGGGCAGGCTCTGGGGCCCATAGAAGGGGTTTCTAGACACCTGCCTGCTCCCCTCCCCAGGGTCTAGGAGGAAGGCTATTAGAGCAAAGTCCAATTAGATAGGGTCTGGATCCCAGTGCCTCTGAGTGACCCAATGTTCGCCCCACTCTGTGACCCTCACTTCCTTCCTGACCAGGGGCTGTGAAACCCTGACACACTGTGCAAGTTCCTCTTTGGTGACTCTCCTCATGAAACCCCCCCCCCCTCCACCCCCAACTACCTCTCAGGGCTGCTAAGCCAGGCTGGAAAGTTCTTTTCCTCCACCAGAGCTCCTTCCTGACCTCCTGATTTTGATTCTCACAAATGACCCTGCCAGTATGTGGGCAGTGTCCTCCACTCAAGAGTCCCTCCTAACACTTGGCCTTGCTGGGCAGGGGTGGGAGGCATGAGAGCTTCTTTCCTTATAGTGGCCCCCGAAGCCACTGTAGGGAACTGACCTGGGCTCCCTCCCCTTCCATGGAAACCATCAACTACCTTGCTAGCTTCATCTCCAACAGAGCAGGCTGAGGGCCACCTCCTGCTTTGCCCAAGTACACTTCCACAGGGCTCTTATGGAGACATGGACCCTCTTTTATTCTGCACCTCCAAGGAGTGACTCTGGATCGTGGGAATTCTAAGCCATGGGGGCAAAGGGTGCTGTCCTACCATGTCATGGGAAAGATTTCTTGAATTGCCGATTCATTACTTCTCAAGGGTGACATTTAAAGATCATCAAATCCAACTGCCAGTGGGAGCCCAGATCCCTTCTGCAAAATTCCAGTGAGTCATACAGTGTCTGTCCCAATCTCTTAGAGGACAGGGGATTCACCGCTTATTGGTCAGTGTGAATGGTTTTGTCAGACAGGAACTTGTTTGCCATCAGTCACAGTGAGACATCAGCTTTGCCTCCAGGATGGGACCTGAGAGTGTGGCTGCTTCAGGGCCAGGAAGGGAGAGGGGTTGGAGAGGAAAAGGGGGGGTGGTCTGAGGTCTGGCAGGCTGGGGTGTGATGATGAGGTCTTCTTCAGGGAGGAAGGCAAAGTAATTCCTTGTCACTTGTGACATCCCAGGTTCTCAGTGTTGAGGATGTGGTTCTGTCCCGAGTCTGTGGCTGTTGGGGACATCTAGGAACAACCCCGAGTTGAAAGAGGTGGAGAACAGGATGTTCTGAGCATCACCTTGGCTCCTCAGGTCTCTTCCCTGCCCTTCCAGTGCTCCAGATTTGACTACCAGAGGCTGGGCACCTGCTGTATCCTGACCTCTCACCCTACCCGGCCTTGCTCTGAGAAGGCCATCAGCACTGACCTACGGCCTCATTAGACCTCTGGTCCTCTGTTGTGCTAGGCTCCTGACAGTACCTCTTGGTCTATATTTTAGTCTACATACCCACTGGGGGAGCCCATCTTCACCATGGTCTTCTCGACTCGGGTTTCCTGGCTATAACACCACGAGCCATCCCAGGGGTTAGGTTCCTCCCGCCACTGTCCAAAGCCAAAGGATTTACTCAGACTAGAACCCCTGGAGTTATAGGCATTACACAGTATTTATAGGGGCCTGCTGACCTCCAGCCACTGCTCAGGGGCGGTGATTAAGTCTAGTAAGCCAACAATTATGGAGTGTTTCTTATAGCCACATTCCTCTACATACCTTAATGGCTTAAACAACCTCATAAGGTAAATGCTTTCCCTTCATTTTAAAGATGGGGAAATTGAGACGCAGACAGTTCAGTAATTTCCCAAAGTCTTATAGCTAATAAATGGTGGATCCTAGACCTGAAATTTTAGCCACAGTGCTTTTGGGTCCCTGTTCCCATTGCATGTACGCATGCACGCACATGCACAGGGGGTAGACGTATGACAAAATAGTAACACCAAGCAATCATGACAAGAGCTGAAGAATGCTAATGGTGCTAGGAGAGGATGGGAAGCGTGACCTTTTCTGATAGAACTCCAGGAGCCAAGAGGGGATGGTAGGGCTGTGGCTGCTGTAGCTGGGGAGTTTGAGGAGAGGGATTCTTGATTAACCAGTGTCCCCAGATAAAAAGGCCTGGGTCCCTCCTGCCCACAGTGCCCCAGGGAGGGGACCACCCCTTCTGCCACCCAAGGCTCAGGCCCCACAGGAGAGAGATGCTCTTCGACCTTTGGGACACCAGCAGGCTTTAGGCACCATCCTCGGAGGGCCTGCCACCCACTGCCAGTTGGACCCTCCCTTCACCTTGCCCCCCACTATGCTCTTTATGCATGCCCCACAGTATGTCAATGTTTTGTTCATCGACTTGTCTGTTTTCTGTTTTGGTCAGTGTTTCAAGCCACTAAGGTTTGGGATAGTTTGTTACCAATAAACAATAAATAATCAAACTGAAGAACCAAGACAAAGTTGAAGAACAAATGGAAAAGGAGATGGTCTTACCTGACTGGAAACCAAGACTTAGTGTGATGTTCTCACAACCACAGTGTGATCCTAGACTAGAAAATCGACCAGGGCAACAGAATTGGGGGGTGAGAAGTGGGAACCTGATTTTCTGCCAGAGCAGGCATATGAAACAGGGGCAGAGGAGAGGAATATGCCATGGTCCGGGAGCAACCATCTATCCATATGGGGAAAATAGAAAATTAGATTCCCACCTATGTCTTACACAAGAATGAATTCCAGGTGGGTTACAAATCTCCATGTCAATAGCTGAGCAATAAAATGTTTAGACAAAAATGTAAGTGTTTTCATGACTTCAGGGTACAGGAATATTTCTTGAGCAAGACATCAAAAGCGCAAACCATAAAGGGGAAATGTGGTGTTTGACTATATTAAAATGAAAAACTCGAGTACAAAAAGAAGACACCAGAAATAAAGTGGGAGGAGAAGCCGCCGACAGGGAAATGGAATTTGCAATGCATATAACTGATAAAAGATTAGCAGCCAGGATTTATAAATTAGTAAAAGGACACACCATTTTTAGTGGACAAATTATAGGTGAGAAGAAAATCACACCCAAGAAAATGAAAAACATAAGTAATGGTTAACTTCATGAGCAATCAAATAAATTCAAATCTCAACTAAAAACATTTCTACCCAGTATATTGGTTGGGGACTTCAAATATGTCTGTAATGCTTCATATGTAGATACAGAAATATAGGAACAGATATACGTATAGATTTAGATATATAGATACAGATATAGACATAGATATATAGATACATACCTCGTATTTTTTAATTCTGAGAGTTCATGATAATAATCACAGTCAAAAATCTAGTTCTGTGAATGAATTTAGGCACCCCAAATGGCCTTTTCTCTGTAACAATAAAACCACCAGGCAGGTGCTGTTATCAGGTTCCTATTACATCAGGAGGTTATGCAACATAGAACAATAGAAAAAAATGTAAGCATGGCAGGATATGTAAATTTTGGTGCTAAGTCTACTGTAAATTTTTTTTGATGTTTATTTTTGAGAGAGAGAGAGAGAGAGTGTGTGAGCGGGGGGAGGGGCAGACACAGAATCAGAAGCAGGCTCCAGGCTCTGAGCTGTCAGCACAGAGCCCCACATGGGGCTCGAACTCACGAACCGCGAGATCACGACTTGAGCTGAAGTGGGATGCTTAACTGAGCCACCCAGGTGCCTCAGTGAAATAAGTTCTTAATGTAAATTCTAAATCCCAGCACAGCTTCCCGAAGGTCAGAAACTTGGCTGGCCTTCTTTTTCTTAACCACTACTATCTCTTCTGCCTGAGCTTCTTTCTCCCTGGAATCTTTACAGATTTCTCAAAACAAGCCCCTTCTCCCACCCACTGCGGCGGTCATGCATGTAACAAATCCACAAGCGAGATTTGGTGAGGGTCCTTTCAAGGAGCTTCATTCAAGGAACCCCAGGCTAACACCAACAAAAAGTCATCACAACAATCTGAAGCTTTACTCTGTCCTTCAAGGAAATTCACGAGTCCTTACTTACCTTGCTGTCAACGGCTGGCATCTACAGGCTGGCTCACCTCCAAACCCTCAGCCAATCTCTCCTCAACCTAGGTTTCCTGGCCCTCCCCCTGCTGGTCATTAGTGTCTTCACTGAAGGAGTATGTCTCCTCAGCCAAAGACTCAGAAGTCAAGAAGCCGAGCCTGAGCCGGAGGAAAGAATGGATCCTCCAAATCTCTCTGGTCCCTGCTGTTTTAGGTCTTGTCTTCCAGGCTGAGATATTTGAGTTCGTGGGGAGGGTCTGGCGATGTGGGGTGGAAGGGTGACTAATGGCGGGTTCTGCTACATGACTTGGAACGCAGAAGGAGTGGATCGCAACCCGAAGCTTCCTGCAGCTATAGAAGTGTTGAGATTCACCTCCCAATGCACCACAAAACATTAGCGTTTTAAGAGACATTAATAAGTGTCATGTGAAAATAACCCATGCTAGGAACACATTTTCTTCAAACATTTTAACGTAAGGAAAAGGAAGTTGCGCTTATCACAATTGGCAAAAGTCGGCTCTTAGAAACTCTTTTAATATCCATTAACGGGAGGTTGATTAAGAAGTTATGCTACATTCATACCAAGGAATATTATGTAGACATCTGTTGATATGGAGAGATATTCCAGATAGATTAAGTGAAAATGCCACAAAATAATATGTCTAGCATGAACTCCTTTGTGTTTGTGTCTCTGTGTGACCATAGCAAAAAGGCTAGATGAACAAACACTAAAATATCAGTAGAAATTATCTCCAGGGAGTGGAATTAGAGTGGAGGAAAACTCCACTCAGTAAGATTAGGCGGACTGGCTCTGGAGCCAGACTGCTCGGATCTAAACCTAACTTCCACCTGT